GGATGAAGAGAAATGAACCTACAGGCCATTCACTCAGCTCTCAGCAAAGCCATGCCAGTGCCCTTACACAGAAAAACAAACAAACAAACAAAAAAACCCACTCAGTCACTTTACTCTTCTGGCACAGCAAGATTTTTCTAAGTAGATAAAGCAGATCTATGCAAGAGACAATGTTTTTAAGGGCAAAATTCAGAGATAAAGTTCTCTAGGGAGTGCTGCCTGCCACAGAGCACGCCTGAGTCTGCTCGACTTGCCCATCAAGGCCTATTCCTTTTACATTTCATGTTCAGCACAGGAAAAGGTGTGGAGGTGTTAGTGCATTACAGCTTGGTGTGCTATTGGAAAGAGCTCAAGTGCTTCAGAGATGAGATGATTACATGTATGAATTTACATAAATGAGAACAGAGAAGAATTACTTTAGGATTTGGAGGCTTACCAAGAACTGAGGTGAGGCAGACAACCCATTATACTACTCTGCATTATTGCTTCCCCTTGAATTTGCAGAATGTATTTTATGGCTTATTATGTATAGCTCAGGTTTGATCAAGCTGTTGATGACTTTCACTGATTCAGCAGTTTCAGTCCAATGTAACTTTTCTTATAGGAGAACAATATTTTGCACTTTAAAAATCAACCTTTTTTTTTTACTTCTTTCTGATGTTTTTTTCCCCCTAATTTGCATGGACCCCCTAATTCTCTTCTGGGGACCAAGAACTTCCAGCACATATGAGTAAACTGTTAATATGAAACAAAGCTATAGCCAGAAATCAGAAGTGATGACTACAGCTAAGTAAAATGTTCCTGTGTAGTAGAGAAGCAAGATTTTCCATTCTGCACTGAAAAATCCAAAGACTTCAGTTACCTCATCAAAGACAGCAAATCATCACGTACTCTCCCTCTGTCTACCCTTGCCCTAGCCAAGTGTTCAAGGCTCCAGCTGACAACCTCTGCTGAATCTCACAAGGCAGCAGAAGGGGTTACTCATGCATGTGGAAAGGAGCAAGCCTCTGTCAGATCCCCTATTACTGTAGCTTGTTTTCCAACAGTATTAATGGCAGCTAAAGAGGCTTGATGAAGAGTTCATGGTGCCTCTAGCACAGAACCAGAGCAGATTAAATCCTGTTAGCTTTAGGAACACTGATCTTCAGGAGCCTTCACTTTCTACATTCTTCCTCCTTCTTCTATATTTGCTTGCTCTTATTTCTGGTTTATTGGTGTATCTTTCCTAACATCTTTAGGCTGCAGAGTGCATGATAATTCACTAGTTCAAAGACAGCATTTTTACAATTTCAGAGGTTCAAGCATTCCCCTAGTTGAAGGCTATGTGAAGTACATGTTTTGCACCTTCTAATCTCATAATCTGTATTTAATAGCAAGAAACTAATTATAAGATTGCATGAAAATTTTTTCCTGACCGTCAAGATTTGCTTGTATAAACAGGATGTTTGTGTACTCGAAGGCACCATCAGCTACAGATACGGTTCTTCCTTCAAAAATCTTATTGATAGGTTTTGCTATTAGGCTCTTTCCATTTTTTCACCTCTGAATAGCCTGATCAATAGGCTGAGTGCTTCAATTTGCATGCATCTTTACTCTTGAATGTTTGTATGACTTGCAATTAAAGAGGAAGGTACTGAGGCTCTCTTCTAAAAAGCAGGGGTTTTTAGTCATGTCTTGTTTGTCTATAACATAGACCAGGTTAACAGCCTCAATGAAATAATGTTCTGCTGAAGATAGCAAAGCATGCTTCCCTGCATTGTTGGGATCTGGGTTCAAGCAAGAAACTTATTATTACTGAAATATGGAATGCATTTGCTCTTGGAACACATGTCCTTTTTATGCCCTCTGGTTCATGAGCTGGTTGCAAAACTACAAATTTGCTATAAAATTCCTTTTAAGGTGCAGTGCTGCTAGAAATTTGTAGAATAATAGAAGCCCTTTCATCCTTTGTATTTACACATGCAATTTGCTTTAACAGGATCTGATCAACCATTAAAACCCACTCTGTGTTTTATGTGTTTAACAAAAAACATACTTGCACAAGTAAAATAGACTGCATGAAAGGCTCCAATACACCTATTTATGTTTCACATATAACAAGGTCCTGCAGAACCCCTTTTGTCCTGAGGAGTTTAACACCCCCAGTGGAAGGCTGAGACTCCCTGGAAGGAGAGCTGCAGCTCAGCACCTTGCCAGCACAACACCTTTGCTCCTTAGGGCTTTGGGCTGGCAGTCCCAGAGCATGGGCTCAGTTTCTACGAGAGGAGAGCTCCAACACAGTGCTGAAGTCAAAGCATACCTGTGATTAACTCCAGCAATTATCTATCTAAGAAAGGAGGCATTTCTCTTTTGACAGAGCATGGCTGGCCAAGTGGTCAGTTCAATGGGCTCCATCTTAGCTGAAATGCTGGGGTGCTGCTGGAGTATGAACCACAAGGAAAGTTTCAAAGTCCAGAGAGTTTTAACGTCTGGGAGAGGATGCTAGTTCCTTTGAATTGTTTACGTGGAGTGTCTAATGCTGAATGTCTCTAATGTCACTAACATGACACTCAAAGGAGTATTTCTGAGTTTTCAAGTTTCATCTGAAAGACATGCAAGGGTCTCTTGCGATAGGACAAGGGGAAATGATTTCAAACTAAAAGAGGGGAGATTAAGATTGGGTATAAGAAAGAAGTTTTTTACAATAAGGGCAGTGAGGCACTGGGACAGGTTGCCCAGAGTGGTGGATGCCCCAGCCTTGGAGACACCAAAGTTCAGGCTGGATGGACTCTAAGCACCTTGATCTAGAGTAGTGATGTAGTGATCCCTGTTCATTGCAGGGGAGTTGGACTGGATGGCCTTTAAGAGTCCCTTCTAGCTGACATGATTCTATGATTCTATGAAAACCGAGTATTAACCAACTCTTTCATCTTTATAAGTAATTGATTAGCTATAGAATTACAAGTTTTGCCTTTTTTTTTTTTTTTTTTTTTTGGTGAAAAGGATTTTTTCATATAGTTTCATTTGTTTATACAGACATGCAAAGCTTTGTTTTCTTGCACACATCAAGCAACAAAGAATATTTATTTGCTGTTCAAAGGCCTTTTCACAAGCAGCGCTTAGCTCAAAAGCCTATTCTCTTAGCTTTCCTCAGCATGATTTTTTTTACCAGTGTATCCTCTAACTCTGTGTTTGCTTGTTTGCTTGTTTGTTTGTTCGTTTTTCTGTCCTTAATTCTCAATCGCTCTCTCTTGCTTTTGGGGGGATTTTTTTTATCTTTTCAAAAACACATAAAACTAATAACTGGAAAATCACAACTGACTGCGTCCATATGTCTGTACTGGAGGTACTATGGTTGCAACTGTCAGATCCTGTAAAGTTATTTATAGATTACCAGGAAGACACCATAAACGTTAACACTAGTGGAAAATCAAGAAATTAATTGTGTGAAAAACAGAGACATTTCAAAGATATTTTCAGATTTTGAACTAAAAATTGATAATTTATTTGATATCTTGGTATTTCTGTAGGAATTTTGTTTTCCTTGCTGTCATTAGCAGCAACATAGTGGAAGCTGTTAACTAAAGATTTCATATTTTCTTTCAAGGAAAAGCAGAGTTTAATAATTTTTCCTTTTTGAAATTGTTTCTGATTATGAAGTCCCAATAATTTCCCATCAGATCAATGGATACAGCCAGGACTATACCTGACTGAGTCAATGTGATTTATAAGATAATAACAAATGAATATCCTCCTGCTTTTCACACATTTAAAGCTAAGGATTACCTCTGTGTAACTAGTTTTAAAAGAATATTTTACCATGCAGAGTTGTCATGGTAGCACATACCATATTTGCCTCCTTGGTCTTTATTCAAAGCCCAAATCTTTTGACTGACCAAATGATCCTAAGACCTCTGAAATGTTCTGTCATCTTTCTAATTGGATACACTGATGTCTGCTGGAAAACAGATGTGATCAACTGCAATCATCTGTGAAGCTGAAACAAAATGCAGCATGTTTTCTCAGGAAAACTTTATCAGTAACTTCACCTCCTCACAAAACATAGACATAATCCATAAATAAAAGAGCTGCCATTTGATGAGAAGGAGGAAATTCTATCTTAGTCAATGACAGGGAAAGTGAAATGTGGTCACCCAGAGTTCCTGCAATCAAAGCCCACTCATGCTTACTTTAATTATTCTGATGTGCATTCCCATTCAACTTTAATAGTACTGCTTGTACCAGTAAAGGTTCTCAATTGCAAGGGTCACGTTTGCTTTGTTTTCTTCATCTCTGGTTTAGACTTAGAAAGACTGCACAAAGGACAGGGATCCTTTGAGAGAGCTCTCTGTTTGCTCAGTCCTGCCTTGCCCAAGAGAGACCAGCACAGATCCAGTGGTTGATTTTGGGAATGCCTTGCTAGCAATAGAGTGGGAGGGAGGAGGCTGCTCTTAAGAAGCCGTGGGACTCAAAACCAAAGCAAAAGGTGTTGTTGGATGGCAAAGGCTGGATGGCAAAAATCGCTGACTACTCAGAGTAACAGAGGAAACCACTAAAATCAAATAGGTCAGTCAAGGAGGTGACTGCAGCAGTTGTTACATTTTTGTACATTTTATTATTTGTAATTTTAGCTTTAATTTCACCAATCCCAGTGAGTATTGGAAAGTAAAAATTTTATTTAGCAAGGTTGGGTGGAATTGGGAACGCATCTACAAAGTACAGTTATGGCTAACTAACTTGATTGTTTGTGGGGACTGCAGAACTGGTGAGGAGGGAGGAGTACTGCAAACGCTAATTATTTTGATCAGTGGAGAATTTGATGCATCCAAGAATTTTAAAGAGTTTTGTCTTGTTCAAAGCTCCAGATGGGTTTAGTCTGAGGTTCTGGCCATCCATGATGGAGTCCATGATACTTGGGCCTCACCTCTGCTTTGTATGTAAATGGTGAAGTTATTTACATAAAAGCTTTCTTCATTTCTTGGAAAATGTGTTTCAATCAGCCAGTCTTTGTCTTTGTACAGGGTCAGGTCTGTCTTGGACAACTCACCCCACAGAAGCAAGAGGGAGGCTGTTCCAGTAACTTCTGTGGGAGGCCTAGCTGGGATGCCATCATCAGGCACAACCCCTGTTCCCAGGCAGGATTTCAGCCCATTTCAAGGACTAACTCAGCTCCAGCCTCTAGAGCTTTGATCTGCTTGAAAACTCAGACATCAGTAAGGCGGTTAAGGTAGGTAACATCTTTAGGTACTATTTACCTGTTAAGGTTAAGTCTTTCTTTCATGTGAAAATCAAACTCCTTTTGTCAGCATATAGCTTTAGGAGCTGTGAGATCTGCAATCGCCAGAGATCTGCATTGCTTGTGCTTTTATCTTGGTACAGTTTAGTACAGGAGTCTCACAGATATCTAAAAAACAACTTTTCAGTATAAATTTATAATTAACTTTATTCACAATAATGATGTCAATAATCAAGCTGAAATCAAAGGATGGATAGGGATTTTATTTTAGGCAGTGATTCTTGTGCATTTCTAAGCACATTCAGAATTAATAAAAAATTATAAGAATAAATCAGTGAAATGGTATTCTATCTTTTCAGAGGACACATGCTCTCTCCATTTCCACGAAAACTGTTCTGCAGCCAGCTGCTTCTGCAGCTGACATTTGCTTACTGAGCCAAATCCATATCTGAGGGCAGACCAGAGGGAATGTGTCTATTCTGGTTCCTGAGAAATGAAGCAGACAAGGGCTATTTCTAGTGGCCTTTCAGGTCCAGTGTGGGTGGCTGAGAACTTTCAATCAAAGTCCTCCCTTTCAAAATTGAGCCCAGTGGTAGGAATTTTGAATAAAGCTCAAAACATGAGATCCGGAAAAGGAGGAGACTGAAGCGGTTTGATGGCATGGCACAAACAATATCTTCCTTTCCTGAAATAAGAATGTTTTCTTCATGAAACAGAAAAAGCAATGAATAAGAAAAAACGTAAGAATTTAAATGTTAGAAGGCACTAAAACCTGGGAAAAGTGTGCTGGATTCCTTTCTTCGGAACATTTTATTAGGCTTCTGATAAAATAGGAAATACAGAAAATGCTGTCACCTTGGGCCAACAAACAAAAAAATGCTTGCGGATGAGTGGAAGGCTCAAAAAAGAGACTTTTTTTTCTTTGCGAAGCATACAATAAAATTCAGCCAGCGTATGTGACTGTGAATAAGGGGGAGGAGGGAAAATAGCAAGGCAAGGAAGGTCGAAGGTTTCTAAACCTGGATACTTAGTTCTGGGTATTTCTTAACACAAATTATACTGAGAGTGGCTTATAAATCTCAGAACTTCTCTCCAAACCATTTAAAGTTAAGTTTGTCTTCTTATGATGATTTAGTACAACATTCTTTATTCAGTGAAGGGAAGCATGTATACACTATTTCTGTTTTGAATGGCCTTGGTTTTGAATCCTTGCTTACCCTAAATAAGGTCTGAGGTGGTTTCTTCTGAATGTTTGAAGATGAAGAAGTAGAGGGTACGTTGTTTCTAAAATGCAGTCTAGTGATTAATGTTGATAAATGTTTGTGTTCCATTTTTAAAGCATTTTGAAAACAGCCACAATCTGCAAGGAAAGAGGGGAGAACTAGTAGGTATTTCATCAAAGACCAGCCATACATAAATTGCTACACAATGGCAATTGCATGCAGGGGTAGCGCCTGGACTTATAGTGAACCATAGCATTTCATAAACTTGTAGAGCTAAGCATGAAGTGCTACTATTGGGATTCTGCATGACCGAGTATTTGCTCACTTAAACCCCAGGGTAGAGGAGAAATTTTCATGGAGCTTATAGTGATTTATAATGGGAAGCATAGGCTTTTTCATAGACATTGTTCTCACTGACAGTGTAAAGAAAGAGAGCACTAAATCTCTTCTCATCATAACTAATGATTAAGTCAGCAGCTTTTTTGGCGAATACAGAATGCCCTTCTACAAAAACAAAGTATTCTATTGTGATGTATTACATTTAAAAAACCCATAAGTATCCCATAAGGCTATTGCAATATTTTTAACTAGATCTTCCCTCTTTGTCACCATATTGAAATAAATGGAATGTGTCAGACTGAGTAATGCTCTTTCAATAAGTTTTTAGGAGCTCACTTAGAAGTTTGGCAAAATATAAAGAAACGAGGAAAACTTTCTCAGGATCCTCTATGGCCTGAATGAAAGATTGGTCCATTAAGGAGAAAAGCTTATGCTGATGCTGACACTAATAAATGGGATGGGGAAGGATATTTCTGCTCAGTTTGGGCTACCTTGCTCCAATTTGGCTGCATCAAGTTGCCCTCTGAAATAAATCAGCCAGTTGATGATGATGCATTGCATTAGAAAGTTCCCATCAATATAATAGGAAAATCAGTTTTGTTTGAGTTCAAATGCGAACTCACCCTCAACTATTAGGACTCAAAGGGACAGCAGTCACTGAAAAATTAACTTCCCTGCATCTGCTGTTCAGACCTGCATTTGAACTACAGCATTCTTCCTTTGGAGGGTATTTCCGTTATTTACTCTGGATACTGAACTTGCTTTAACTTCATATGTTAAGTGGAAGAAAATGCCATGGCTTTATTAGGCTGCTCCTTCCCCAGTGCTTTCATTTCAGATGCTATTTCAACCCTACTGAAATCAGTGATAAAACTACTACATTCATTGCCAGAGCCGGGCTTTTTCTCTCTATTTCTGCTCCTGAGGGAAATTTTGAGTAGGTGGACCTTCAGAGTTAGATCCATCCTGGATTTTAGCCCTAGTCTCCTTTACAGATATGTTCCTTAAAATATTTTATAAACTAAAACACTTAAGAAATGCCTCCTCGGTGCTCCTAAACGGGAAAATTTGAAGTAGAAATATTGGGCAATGGGAAGGAATTGTATTTAGCTGTGGTGCTATCTCTCAGTAATCGTTAGCCTTTAGGGCTCCGGTGATCTCCATGTTGCAAGTGCTACATTTCCATACCTACCATCTTTCATTCTTCAGGAAAAAAAAAAAAATCTAGATTACTCAGAATATGTCTTCAAGGGGTGCTTCTCCTGTCACACTGACTCTACAGTGCGTTCTTATACTAAGTAGGTTAAGCATTTCAGAAATGTTTAGAAATCTTGCCCAGTAAGTACTTTTTTACATCGCTGTAATACAGCCTTTCCTGAATGTTACGTCTGGAATCCTAGCCACAGTGCACAAAAATTACAGTTGGGTAAAGCAAGCCCTCTCAGACTAATGAATTCAGCTTTCCTTTTTTTCCCCCTTTGCCTCACAAAGGTCCTAGTCAAGAGTGGGATAGAAGGAAATCCCACTAGAGCCTAATAATGCTGCTTCTTTCCAGAGGGAGTCACTAGAAAGTAATTTATTTCTTCAGCATGCAACTAGAGGTACTCATTTATCAAAGGCTTCTGCATGCTGCTTCTATGGCCTTCGTTATCCCAGGGACAAGGAACTGAGGTTGTGACCCAAAAAGTCTATTCCTACTGGATAACCCTGGTTGTTCCTTTTTTTTACTCAAACATCAAATGCAGGCCTACTGGACATATAAGGCCATGTTCATAGCTGGAGTTTGTGCAGTATTTATAAGGTATGAAAAGCTACAGTTCTTCTGTCTTTCCCTATCAGCATCAGTAAGGCACTACAGGCGAGAGTAACGCTATCAGCTGCATTCCTTTGCCTCCTGAGCCATGGGCAGCTCTGATTTTCAGACGTGCTTTACTTTTTTTTTCCCCTGCCCTGCTTTTCTCTACTGTTGTGTCTTTCCCATCAAGGGAACTCGCCCTCAAGTTCAGATTGCACACACTTAGGAGATGCAGCGGAGAATTGGACCTTTGTGAGCGTGTGAAGGATGCTTTCCTTGACCTGTCAGAGAACATATTTTACTTGATGAGAAAGAATGCTAGGCCAAATTCCTCTCTACTGTAAGCAGACTAATAGAGGAGGACTTAGCTAGGGATAAGCTTGGCCTACTTTGTGCAGTGGATGGTCTCCTAAGCAGACAACGCTTATTGTTTACAGTGCAGTGGCTGCTTTTCTGCTCCTTTAAGTGATGGTGGGTTTTTGTACCAAACAATGCAAATAGGAAGTCGTTTGTTTGGGAGGACCTAATCCTGAAGCCCTTATTTGGTGTTTACTGAAGTTAAGCTCAGCCTTTACTCAGATGAACTCCACTTGGACTCACAAGGAGTTTCCCCAGTGAGGACAAGAGGAGGACTGTGAGAGTGCGCTGCCTGGTTTTGGCCAAAAGACAAAGATACTTTACGTTACAAACACATACTGAAGAAAACAGGCACACACAATTACTGACTATATGCATGTGGCACTGTACGTGTGCACACGGACACAATTGCACACTAATCTAATCAATACATTCATTTCTTATTAGGACATAATTACACATCCCAGGAGGCTGGAACAGAAAAGTCCCATTAACCCCTCATGCCCTTTTCAGCTTTCCTCTGCCTTTCCATCTAACAGACCTCTGTGTCGCTCCACTCATTAGCAGTTACTGTCTATGACATTGTTACATAAATAAGGATGTCGACCTGTCAGAATGGGTCACTCAATTCAAGGGTGATGATAAATATCTGTCCCTCTGAATTAGGCCAAAGATACCAGAGTACAGGACAGCTACTGTTGATTATTGGATAGTTAATGTATAGAGGACAAAAGGTGCTGAGGCCTGGTCACTCTTTGGATCATTAATATGGATTTAGGCCTATTATTAAAAAAAACACGCGCAGGCATAAAACTAGGTTAGCAAGAACACGCATAACTTTCAGTTTGGGACTGAATGTATAGATGGTGGGTAGATCTGTGGTGCTAAAGGTGTGGCTTTTACGTAAAATTAAGGGTGCTTTTAGATAAGCACAGTATTTTGGGATCACACTGCAAATGGTTTGTGCTTCTCCATGCTTACAAATGAAATGTAAGTAAAAGGCGTGGTGGATGCCTTTAAGTAAGCTGAGATGATTCCAGGAAGCAGGATATACAGTAGAGCAGTGCTGGGCTCTGAAGCAGCTACAGAGCTGCTGCTGAGGCATCACATGGTTTGCTTTGAAAACCATCAGTTATTGCCAAGACTTTTCTGAAACTGCTTTATTTTCAAAACACTTTTTTTCTACTTAAATCTTGAAGGGACCGGAGAGTGTCTATAACCTCAGTTTGTTCATTCAGTGATTACTACCTTCTTCACTTGGTGACAGATTTTTCTTT